AGTCTATAAGCAAGTATAATATCTTCCCTTTAGGTAGATAAAACTTTATATCCCCTTTTTTTATTAACACACAATTCTAATCTCAGATTAATGTTAAAATCAAAAATATACATTCGCAATTATTTACAAAGCTGTAATGATATATATCTTTTTTGTTGAAAGATAAGAAAAATCTACGAAAATGTAATAATTCAAGAGTAAGTAGGTAACTGTTTTGTTGACGGCTGCGGGCTGACCGCTGACACAAAGCTTATAACATATATAAGTCAATAATTTCTTGACTATTGTTGATTATCCACAGACCAAGGTGAGATGCAACAAAGTTGTCAACCACAATAATTATTGTGTTGATCAAAACTTAAAATAAGAATATTCATGGCAGTGTTCACAAGGAGACCGGTGGCGAAATTACGTTCACAAGTGCGATAATCTCGTTTAACTACGTACGATGTACGATGGTACACGACTATCGTACGCAGATTGTACGATAATTTCCATTCTGATAAAAAATTTGATGATTACACAGATAGCCCAATAACAATTACAGTTTTTAGTGTCAGTGCCATCTAATGGCTTATTTTTCTATAAGAAACATATGCTGTCACAAGGCGACTACAGCGGATGAACAAAGCGTTAATGTACCAGGGCCTTAGCAAAATGCATCAGTAGTGTATGTAGAAAGTCGAAAACTTAATTTGTATGGAAATGACAGTTCGTGTCGAAAGTTTTCATACAAATTTAGTTTTTGACGTTCTACATACACTACTGTTAAGGCATCTTGACTAAGGGCCCCTGTACCGTCAGGAAAATGGCTAAAAATATTTTAAAAAATCATATGAAACATGAAGATAAAATTATGCAAATGATTTATAGTTTAAATCTTGTAAACTTGTGTTTTTCAAATTGAAAAAAAATAATAATAATTCAATTTAAATGTTCGACGTATGGCACAAACCCGAGCTGGGCCCTCGTCCAATTCGAGTGTGATTAACGCGACATTTCGAATTTATAAAGAACAAAACAATGTTATAGGATAGAGACAAGCATATTTTTAAAAGTTTAACTGAATATATTTGCGAGAACAGAATATGAAAATATAAATGAAATTTAACGTCTTATATACAACTTTTCATCTTTTCCGTCAATGAGGAACTAAAATACGCAATATTTTCTCTTTGAACGATATGGTGTTCGCTCTAAGTGATATACCTATTGTCCGTAAACATTGCATATTATTTTTATCACTTAAAATTCGTCAGGTATTAAAATGCTATTGGACACTTCCAAATGTGCGTCACCATACAAATCGTGGAAGCTGCGTCACCATACAGCTAAAAAAGCTGTGCATTCTGATGCATTTTTGTGTTTGTACATTAACGCATTGTTCATCCGCTGTAGTCGCCTTGTGACAGCATATTTTCCGAATAGAAAAATAAGCCAATAGATGGCACTGACACTAAAAACTGTAATTGTTATTGGGCTATCTGTGTAATCATCCAATTTTTTATCAGACTGGAAATTATCGTACAATCTGCGTACGATAGTCATGTACCATCGTACATCGTACGTAGTTATGAAATTATCGCACATGTACGATAATTATCGTACGGTTGTGAACCCTGGTAAGAAGTGAGACTTGAGAGTTGAGAGTGTGGTCAGTGGACTTTATTTGGCTCAATACGTGAACGTGACTATGACGTATGCATATGGGCGAATGAGACACCTAATTTACCCTCGTGTCCTTTTTGTGTGATGGTCGTAAATTAATTTATCAAATGCTTTCTATGTATCAATTAATTAATTTATTTGTTAGTCAACTAATAGTTTGTCGTTTAGTTATAATAACATAGGAATTACTTTCTTATTAGGTAACGGAGCGTGCCTTATAAAAACAAAATTTGAAAAAGTAATCACGCTAAGTTACAAAAATATTATTAAGTTTTTAATAGTGTAAGTGAACTTTGTAAGTGAATTCTGATAAATTAAAATTAACGGTGTACGTTTTTAGTTTAT